CCCCCCCCCCCCCCCCCCCGATGGTATATATTTTCTCCCGTGTATTACCACCACCGGTATACACTGCTCGACAAAAAAAGAGAGAGACCCATTGAAATTCGATATCTATTTTTTTTATTGTGTGCCCCGCGTATACACTCGTGTATCGGGCAATATACCTCGCTGCCAATTGTCTGCTGCCGCAGTCAAAGAATCAAATACCTGTGCACGTCCTCGATGCCATATATTCCTCGGGCACGAGCAAAACACAATATGATGATGATGTATATTTTTGTGCGGGGTAGAATGGCGCGACTGCACTTTGCATGTTTACTCGACATATTTAATTGAACGTCATCTACGGGAGAGCAAGAGGGAGGCGCATGCAAATGTTGTCGCTGGTTAAGTAATTGAAACCCTTGCGAATTTGTCTCTTGGTATTACGTCGCTCGAAGTAACATTGCGCCCCTTGTTATACGGATAAATGGCCATTTGGAAAAAAAAAATGTACTCGGGGCAAGGGGGCGAGCTAATTGTCTATGGGCAATCTCATCGAGTGACGCTTTGCTCCTCTTGGGGTATGTATACGGAAAAAAAAAAAAAAAAAAAAAAAAATCAATAGCAGCTCGTCGGAGCTATTTACCAAACAATTACGGCATGTATAAATCAGGGCGTAAAAAAACCTACGCGTGCTAGAAAATTAAAGAAAAGGAGTGAGTAGTACACAAGTAAATTTAGAGAGCAATAACTTTTGTAACACAGATCGTCGCAAGGGATCTCGGACGTGGCTCGGAATAATAAATGAGTTCGACACCACGTGATTATCTCGGCGGGAGATCATTTTCCAGCAGCCCGAGATACGGATCTTGGATGAAAAAAAGAATTGTCGATGGATGCCCGCGCGTCTAAAAGTATATATATATATATATATATATATATATATATACATATAACACACTGTCACATAGAGGTACGTATATGTATATAAGCGAGGAAAACGCAAACGAGATCTTTCCATTAGATTGTATTGGTGATGCCTATATATGCATAGGTGCGTCATCCAGATATAAGTTGTTTCTTTGTCAACCGCTGCTGCTCGGGGAAGAAAGGGATGGGTCTTGTCATTACGTTACGGAGCAAGTGAGTGGGTATATATTATATTCTCACGCACGTTCACTTTCATTGTCGCTCTCGCCGCGGAGGGAACATTCTTTCGTCGGTCTCGGAGAGTTGCTTAGTTTGGGCGCGGGTCGTTACGGGAACCGTTTCGATGACGAGAGGATGAATACACCTCTGCTCCGCGTCAAACGGACCAACAGCGCTCATATGAATTACAATGCCCAAACTTGCTCCGCTCGAACGAACGCTGCCGTGTCTACATAATAATAATAATAATAATAATAATAATAATAATAATAATAATAATAATAATAATAATAATAATAATATATTATATAGGTGCAATCCCTTTGTAAGATCTTGTATATATTTATACAAGCATACTGTATAACAAATGGGCCTGTATATCATATGTTGTATGCCTCTCTCAAGCAAATGGACAACCATAATTAAAAGTATATTAAATGATAAAACCACACGCTGGAACTATTTTTCTTGAAATTACTTCAAACGAGTATTTATATATTTTATGTTTACATGGTGTCCGGAATAATATAATCAAAGTGATTCAATTTCATGGGGCTGGTGGAAAAGAGAAGGAGGAGGTGTACACTTTTGGCTCGGTCAAGACAATAAAACGCCAAACTCAAAAGAGACAAATAATAATGGAAAATAAAAATAAATGAAAAAAGGGGGGAAAAAAACAAAAAACAAAAAGGTATGTACGTAAACTGACCTCGTCCGCGTGAAAGGATCTTTGTTGAAGGCCGGTCCAGCAGGTCCTGCACCTGCAGAGCTCCTTCTCCGGCCAGTCGCGCTCCTTGTCCCGGGCGTTGGCAGTAGCAGCGAGGTTGTTGGCTTTGGCGGCGCCATTGATCTGCGGGGGTGGCGGGGGCACGGGAGGCGGCAGGGGACTCGTCGCGACCTCCAGACTGTCCGAGCTGGAGTTGTGCCTACGCGGGGGCGTGATGTTCGTGACGTTACGGGGCCCGCCCATGATGCCCCCCGCGCTCGGGGCCACATTGGCAACGGTCGAGCCGACCCTCGCGTACGCCGGCGACGACAAGTAATGCATGTCCAGCGAGCACTTGGAGCCACCGTTAAGCTGCTGTTGTTGTTTTTGCTGCACCTGGGACTGCTGCTGCTGCTGCTGCTGGGGCTGCGGCCGCAAAAAATCATCGAGCAGGTAAAAACTCTGGGCCCTCGCCGACCTCGCCTGCGGCTGCTTCGATTCTTTGGCTTCGCGCTCCTCCAGCTCGACCTCGTCCTGCTGGAACAGCCTCCGGCCGACCTTTGCCCTACCGTTGGCCAGCGAGTAGTCGCTGTTGTTGGACTTGGACATGAGCCTGGGTGCGGACGAGGAGATCGGATTGGCGCGACGGTAGTAGCCCGTGGTGGTCGGGTGCTCGACGAGCGACGTGGACGAGGAGGAGCACTCGACGAGGGGCGGCCTCTCAATAATGTCCTCGATCATGGACACGCTTGCGTTGTGGTAGACGGTGGGGGTCGTATGATTGTTGCCACCGCTTACCGGGCTCCTCAAGAGGGCACCGAGGGAGCGCCACTTGCGCTGATCCTGGCCCGTGCTGCCGTTACTGCTGCCACTCGAGACCGCCCCGGCAGCAGGGGTGACATTGGCCGAGTTGGCGTGGGGCCACCTCTGTTGTTGCTTGTCCGAGTCCAGGGACCACTTGCTGCTCTCCTTGGCCGGGGTGTTGTTGTTGGTGGTGGTGGTGGTGCGCCTGTAGTAGCAGGCGTTGCCGGGCCAGCGGCGCTCGTGCACGGGCGACGTGGCCACGGCCGGCGATTGCTGTTGCCACTTGCGCTGGTCCGGCGGACTGCCGTTGTTGGCCAGCTCGTCGCGTTGCCTGCTCTTCCACCAGGAGGAGGTTGAAGTCGTAAAGAGGATCAACGCGCCCTTCAGGGGGTTGTTGTTGGTGGTTGCCTTGGTCTTGTCGAGGGGCTCGGCGCACTGCCGTGGATAGTTTGCGTCGACGCCGTGGGGACTGGTCTCGCGCAGCAGTAGGGGCCGGCCCGTCAGGTACGACGAGGTCGACTTGGTCATGCTGCTTGAAATGGGCTGTTGCTGGTCTTGCTCGTCGGAGCCCCTGAGCAGGATGGCGTTGGTGCTGCGCAGCCGGGGCCGGGAACGCACGAAGCCGTAATCGTTGCCCGAGTCGAGATACGAGAGCTCAACGCCCCCGAGGCCCGAGTCGCTGCAGCTACCGACCTGCAAGCCCTTGGCTTCGTTGGCCTGCTGTCGCTGCTGCTGATGCCCGTGGAGGTGATGGCTGTAGCTGGTGTGTTGTTGCGCCGGTGGGCCCGGGGGCTGCTGCTGACTGTGGTGGTGCTGGAGGGAGGACAGGCCACCGTTGCCGTACTGGTGATGATGATGATGATGATGATGATTATGTCCACCCAGCTGCTGGAGGCTGGGCTGTTGGGGCAGGGTCGAGGTGCGGGCGCGGTGAGCCTCGTTGCCCGAGCCCCGCTGCAGGCAAGAAAAGCTCGCCGAGTGCCTAAGGCTGGACGGCGGGTTGCCCGGCTGGCTGCTTACGCCCAGCATTTTTGAGAGGGGTGGGGGGTGGGGTTCGTGTCCGAGGGGATGGTAATCTCGCGAGGTGTACTCGGGGCAAGGGGGCGAGCTAATTGTCTATGGGCAATCTCATCGAGTGACGCTTTGCTCCTCTTGGGGTGACGAGGTCCCGCTCGTTGGTGCCTTTGTCGTTATTGAAGCTAGGGGCTTCCTCCCGCAGTTGATCATCTTTCGAGGATGTGGCAACGATCGGCCGCTTCCTGCAACAGAAAAGAGGACCGAGGGTAGGGACGAGCAACTCAAAACATAACTATGGCTTAGATGTAAAAATAAATAATAACGTTAATGATAAACGATTGTGAGAAAAATAATAATGATTACAATAACAATGAAATATAGTGCAACTATATTTTGCTCGATAATGAAAATGATGATGATGACTATGATGATGATGATGATGATGATGATGATGACGACATTTGTAATGGTCGGTGTTGTGATTCATGTGCGTTTGATACGGCAATGTCGAGCTCTTAATGGCGTCAAATAAAATGTGATAAAATTGTATTGCGATCGATTCATGATTTTTATGTATTTCAAAGCTAATAATAAACGCAATAACAAGCCGAGGAGGAAAATTGTAACAAAAAATAATAACAATATGTATGTATTGTATAAAATAAGTATATAATTGTAAATAATAATAAGAATAAAAAGGTGGAAGATGGTTGTACATATACAGGTACGTTTCGCCACTTTTCGTCATTCGATATCATTTGGTTTATTAGTATATAGTGATAGGCCATACTTGTCAGTCACGTAAGTACACGTACATAAACACAGTGTAACCAAACTGCAATTTTTATAAATGAAGTTGGGCCCCTTTGATTTTGCAGAGTAAAAATAGTAAATATATATAT